ATTTGCTGGTTAACTTATGATTAGGCTTAGCTTGAATAAAAATTGTATGTTCCTAACTGCGATTAATCATTAAACTTTGATTTTGTAGTGAATAACTTTCAAAGTTACCACTACAAAACTATCGGTTTAATGATTAACTATAACGAGAAAAATTTTATTATTACTTTATTGTACTTTATTTTCATAAATTATAGATATATTCCTTTTTTTATTCGGGGCATTTTTCATGGCGTTGAAGAAGTAAAATTTCAAGAGGTTTTGCGTCACGTGGGAATCCCACCGCAAGCGTTTACACTCACCGTCTTGGAGGATAAGCAAGCGTCATTGAGATAGAGATGATGGGTCTCCCAACGTCTGAGGAGCTTGCTGGACAGGATCTTCTTCACGAGGGTCCGGGTGTGATTCAGATAGCACACCTGTATGTCGCCTTCCTCGAGAGGCTTGAAACGAGGCCCGGCTGGTCCCGGACTCGGGCTCGCGCTCGACGAGCCGCTGGCCGACGAGCAACCGGCGCTTTGCCGCTCCAGATTCGGGCAAGATCTTGCAGCTGGCAGGCACCCGGACGCGTCCAGGCCCTCGGGCTTCAGCGAGTCCATGCCCGGGCTGCTGTCCTCGCCGTAGGAGCTGCAGGTGTCAGCGGGCGGTGACTCCACGCTGGAACGCAAACTCGCGCCGGACGATAGCTGCGGCGAGCTAGTGCTGGTGGTCTCTTGTCGCATGGTACCGCCGTTCACCGACAGGAACTCGTAATAAGGCGCCGCGGAAGTAGTCAAGCCGACGGTGGACGCGGCTGCCGGGCTGGACGGTAAAGACGAGCCCTCCTCGGTCTCGGTCTCCGGAGAGGCTGCCTCCTCTTCGTCCTCCTCTTCGTCGTCATTCTCATCCTCGGGCTCGCTGAAGCCGTTCTCCAGAGACGGTATATCGCTGACGGAGGCGGCAGCCACCTGAAGGCTCTCGTCGATCACGTCGATCTGCACCGACGGTGACGAGACGGTCGTCGCAACCGTGGTATTGCCACGACCTCGCTGCCCCTCGTCTACGCGAGGATTCCTCGACGAGGACGAGGACTCCGCTGTCGATTCGCTCGCGGGCGAGGGAGACGTCGAAGAGGAACGTATCTCGCCGTTGTTCAAGTTCGACGAATCATTGGAACGAAGACGCAGCATGAGCTTACGGCGCCAGCTGCTGCCGTTGTTGTTCAACTTTTTCGGCGACGATAGAGAACGCGCAGTCTGATGGCTCTCATCCTGCAGCATAAACTGTTGGTCATTGGTATCGTTGCCGTTCAGAACGACCATTATACCGCTAGGCGAGGTCAGAGCGTCCGCTCCAGGCGATAAGGGTTCAGGCTCGAGGTAATCAGCACGGATACCCGGTAACGTGTCCGTGCTGCTACCGCCAGACATCGAGGCCTCCTGATCGATGTACCTGATGGAAGAGTTGGAACCCTCGCTGGTCGCCTCGGAGCCGCGCCGGTTGCTCTCGTTCACGTTGGACGTCGTTCTCCCGGTGGGCGATAGAATCGCATTGGTCAGCGAGGACTTGCTCTTCGACAGCGGCGCGGTGGACATGACGCCACGCGACGATCGCGTGAAGGGACTTTGGAAGCAAAACATTGTGCGATTTGTAGGCGGACTCTTGGAGGTCTTCGCTTAGAAGATCTAATGCTCGAACTTATCCAATGTTCTAGTCAAGAAACTGAAGAACGGCAAAAACGCCCGCTCGAATGAATAGTCTATGTAGCGAGGTGTACGTTGTGCTTGTTGTAATTCGTATCTTCTTGTACTAGTCTTCTTGTACTCGTCGACATGAAACACGCGCGCGATGAACGTATCGCCGATGCGATATCCGGATAAAAGGAATTTACGCGCTATCTGCTTTTCTGCCTGAACTTTCTTGCTTCTCTCTCTCTCTCTCTCTCTCTCTCTCTCTCTCTCTCTCTCTCTGACGCCTTCATGGACCGATAATCCCCGTCGCGCGCGTCTACAACGAGAGAGTTCCCCGTTCCCCCACGTCGTACGTGACGACGTATCTTCTCCGATATCTATCAGCTGAGCTAATTGCCGCTTCGTGTCAGAATGAAACATCGAATTTCACCGTCGAATTCACCGCACGCGCGTTTTTTTTTCCCTTTCACTGGAGATTAAATCGTCCGACGACACGAAGGGTGCGCACGCGAGAGGATCATTTTAGCGTCTCGGGATCAGCATTGATCACCATTGCGAGAAGGGTGGATCAATTGGGACAAGCACTTCAGCGAACCCTCCCCCCCCCCACTCCCCCCGGGGGTATTACCTCGAGATTCGTTTGGATGAACGTTTTGCCCCGACGTCGAGCTCAGTCGCTCGTCTTTTTGCGCGCATGTTGAAACGCGCCGCGACACATTGTCGAGGTCCGAACGCCGCGATAGACGTCGACGTACTGATTCCCACCTACGGCATCGGCGACAACACCTCGCGTGCCGGTGGCGATGTCAAAGCCACCGCGGTGCACTGTTCGGCGGAAGAGAAACGTGACCCACGCCCGTCTATTTCACAATAGGACTACCCGCGGACTACGGAGGAGATGTTCACCCTGAAGGGGATAGGATCCGCGAGGAAGGCAAATGATCTAGAGAAAGAAAAAGAGATGGGGGAGGGGGAGGGGGAGAGAGAGAGAGAGAGAGAGAGAGAGAGAGAGAGAGAGAGAGGAGGAACAGAGGAAGAAGGGGAAGATAGAGCAAGAAAGGGACGAGGAGAGAGCGCGCCAGGCGTGTGTTTCCGACGTGATACGTAAATGTCTGATACAACACCGAGAACGGGACAGGGACAGGTGGGGACGACCGAGGAGAAACGGCAAGGCGAGGAGAGGGCGTCGCGGCGCACGGCGTCCGTGGTCGATCGATGACTACTAGTCGCGAGTTCGCGCGGGATTATCGCATGCCCGTCGTCGATGTTTGCGCTTCGCTTGTATCGTATCTCTCCGTCGCGTAATCTACGCGCATACACCGCGTATCGACTCTTCCGAAGTTTAAATCCTCAAAGTCCCTCGAGAAAGTCTGTCCACAAATTGGCAAGAGTAACTGTCTCTCCTTTCGCCGGATGATTTCTCCCGCGTACTAATCTCTCGGTACGCTCAAGATACTTCCCTCCTCTTCGTTTCCTCTTCTTTCTTTCTAGTCCTTTACCCTTTGATTGCGCCAAGCAATCGAGACTCTAATCATAGCGCAGCCATGGAATCCAAACGAAATTAGCAATTATTTCTGCGACAACATTCGTGTAATCGTCAGTCTCTTTCCGGTTCGACGCATATAATCACGATCTGGTGAACGCTGTCCTCTACTTTGCGAGATACTTGGTGACTTCCCACGTGTTACATCGTTGCACTGTCCTTGAATTCGCGCGAGAAAGATCCGAATAGGAGATTCTACTCGATCGAGTAGGATCGACCGAATAATTCTTCGTTTCTTCGCGCAAACAGACACATTGTACCGATCGACGTCGAGGGATTAATAGAACTAATCTCGTGACATGCGTTCGCCATGCCCATCGAAAGCGGATCGTGTTTCGTGTGGAGCGATTCCGCGATTAGATTAGAGTACCGTTGATGCTTATCGCAGCTGATTTCTTCGTCTTTACAACTGTAAGTCGTGGATTCTTCCACCGTATGTACTGTAAAATCAATTCCAGACCACCGTCTGCAAACCGCTCTTTCGCCTCTCGGCGAATTCCTCTCCGGCCGCACGCGACCGGAAGTTTTCTTCAATAATTTCGTGAACGTGTCCAGCGCAAACCCGAGAGGATTAAAGCCCCATTTTCATTATTGCACTGTATTTAATTAACGTGTGTGTTCTGCACTTCGTTATCTGTAATCACGGAGCGAATAACATTCTACTGATCCGTGAAATATTTTCCTTATCTCATCTTCAATTTGTACAACCTGGAGTTTTCGCGTCACTAGCAATGAGCCACTAGCAATTCAAAGACGAGTTCTCTCACTTGTACGCAGAGATATATTCTAAGGCGTTATATCCCACGACATTGTGGGATAAATCGGAAAGCAGTGCGCTGTGCAATCTCTTCTTCGCCGAGCGATAAACCTCCGACGTCAATGATAAAGGCAACAACGTCACGATCAATTTCAATAATTTAATCCGTTCTACCTACGAGATACGAGCCAAGCTCTCTCACATTCGCTCGAGAGTCGCGCGCCTTCGAAAATCGGAGCGCGTACTTTTACTCCGTCCCGTTAGAACACACGTATACACAAGAACGCGCGTACACACAAACGCGTCGTACACACGCCGTCTATCTGAGCCCGGAACCCGCAGAACATCCGTTGTTCGTCTATATACGCCGCGATCCTTCCAACATTCGCAATCGTGCTTTGTTACGAACGATATATCCGCCACCGCAGCTCGCGTACGCG